TTCATAAACTTTCAAATTTAGAGTTTTAAGTCCGAAACACGTCAAACGACGTCCAATTTCAACCAAACTTCACAGAAATATCTTAAACCACATATAAGACCTGTACCGGGCGCCAGAACCAAAATACGGGCCCGATACCAACACGTTCTAACCAATTTTCATTTCAATTTTCTTTATAAATTTCAAAAAAACAATTTTACTCAAAAATTCATTTCTCTGGCTTGGGACCTCGGAATTCGATTCCGGGCATACACCCAAGTCCCATATTTTCCTACGGACCCTCCGGGACCGTCAAATCACGGGTCCGGGTCAGTTTACCTAAAATATTGACCGGAGTCAAATTTACTCATTTTAATATCAAAGTTTAGCATTTTTCACAGAATTTCACGTTTAAGCTTTCCGGCTACACGCCCGGACTGTGCACGCAAATCGAGGCAACTAAAAATGAGGTTCTAAAGGCTTCGGAAGAACGGAATAGATAAGAAAATAGATGATGACCCCTTTGGATCGTCACATAAATAGAAAAACTAAATCAAATAAAAAGACTGAACAAAAAAGATAAAAAATAATTAACTATGTTTTGTTTTCTTAATAAATTTCGAATGGTCGGCATGCCATTTTACCTCTTTAATTTAAAATAACCTCGTGAGAGATATTGGAACAATACAAAAAATTAAAGTTCCCCTAATAGTTTGCAACAATCATAGGATCTATTGCAAGTGATATCAATTATGTCAAAAGTTTGATATATTTGTCTAACTATAAAGTTGCCTATGAGTAGCAAGAGTAGATCTATAAGTTCTCTTTGCATTATATGCTTTTCTTTATACATTGGTCCATGAATATTCGAAATTTCATTTAGAGTTCTTTCCCCTCTTTCTTCCTTCATTATCAGGCTAGATGGAAAAAACTTTACTTTGTACTTCATACAATGGACACAAGGTATTTAGGGATTGTATTTGTTTGACAAGTGAAAATTGTGAACTCAAAATATTGAATAATATAAGATTTTGGATCACATATATAAACAAGTCTCAAATAAATTATGTCAGTTAAAAGGCACAATGTAAAATTTCTAGTTCAAGACTAAATATATGTGTATTTGAAATTTAGCTAGTGTTTTGGAAAAAGATTTGGTTGAAACTTGAAAAAAAAGTTTTTGAAATTGTGTTGAAAAATAATTTTTGGAAGTTGAAGATTGTATTTGGACATGCATTTTATTTGGAAAAAAAAAGTTGAAGTTTTGTGTGTGGAATGAAATTTTCACCTAAAAACTGCCCTAAAGTAGTTTTTGGGAACTTGAATTTTTTTTTTATTTTTTTTCAAAAGCTGATCATATTCTACGAAAAAAATGATGTTTTCAAATTTTTTTCTTAGAAAAAATAGCCAAAATCAATGACCAAATGGGAGTTTAAACTGATGAGTTTACGTTACGCTTGATTATAGATTAACTTGTGTGAAATTTTGAAAAAAACGATTATGAATCCAGTCAAGGACCCAACTTGGGTCGTGACATGTGTGATACTTTCCTATGAAAATCTGGTATGGTTGATATTTTGTAGCATAGAGGAAAGAAAGAAATTGAAATAAATGAAATATAGAAACTTAAAATCTGAAAATTGATTTAATTTGCTCTGAATTGATTTGATGTGTAGATTTAAAAAAAAAACATAATTAACACTAGCTTGTTTGATTATTGAATAAAACGACTCATATCAACCAGAACTGTCCCTACACCTATTGTTTTTTTTGTTTTTTTATTTTTAATAATTTTCTTTTTATTAAGTTTATCTTTTCTTCTTTTGGTCATACCAAAGAAAAATCTTATACAAATAAATGGTGCTAATCGAAGTGAACCATAGAGATTGCAAATTCAGCCGCAATATTCCCCTGGCCATCTCTCATTTTCAAATTTCCCATGAATAAAACAAAACGAAAAAGACGTAAAAAGAAAGAGAACCACTAATTTGCTCAAGAAAAATGTTTATTAATCATAGGGGTTGCTTCTTGATATATACAACAAAATAACGAGATAGTATGAGGTAATATAAAAATCAAAATAACTAATTTACTTTCTTTTATGTTCTATGTTTGGTAAAAAATAATTACATATTACAGTGTTTAATACACTTGTTAATTTGCAGCCGAATTAACTTTCGTTTCAGCATTAGCCTTGCAGATCTTTCGGCAAGTTGGTGTTCTTCATTCAAATCTGGTCTCATTTGGCTAAAAAAAAGGCAAACAACAACGACCTCCATTTTCGACCACTGTTACAGTGGCAAACCCATCGGTAACAATGGTGATTCCACAGCAAACAAAACAAACAAAACCTAGAAACTAAAAAAAAAGTGAAAATTTTATAGACTAAAAAAATAGTGAAAATGCATGTTAATATTTTGTTCTGG